GAGAGCTTTAAACAGTGTGGATCTCTGGCCCAATGCCAGAGCAATGAAATCAATATCTTTGGGGAGGAAGCCTGGCTTTGTTATCTTTTAAATGCTCCCCAAGCAATTCTAACGTGCCTCCAGGGTTGGGAACCACTGTTCTAGAAAAGCAGCCGGGGATGTGACAGGACATTGGGCAAATGCCTTATTTCCCTTTGAAGAAATGTCTTCCAGATCCCAGCTCAGATGCAGCTCAGCTTCTTGCTAGCCGCCTAGCTTTGAAGGTGGTACTCATCTACCCCGAGCCTCAGTTTCCTCTTCTATAATGTGGCTGTTAAAACCAAAAACCAACCCTTTGCTCTTGAATTGATTCCAGCTCATGGTGACCCCATGTGTTTCAGAGTAGAACTGCTCCACAGGGTTTTCAATGGCTGTAATGGGATTGCCATGAGTCAGAACCAAGTCGATGGCAACTGATTTGGTTTGAATCTTGCAGAAGTAGATCACCAGGCCTTTCTTCCACTGTGCCACTGGGTGAATTCGAACCTCCAACCTTTCAGTTAGTAGTTGACTAGTTGACGGCAAACCGTTTGTGCCACCCAGGGACCTAAATAGGGCTGTTAGGAGGATTAAATGAAACTGCCTGGCTGTGTCTGCCCTCCCCTTCCCTTTGTCTCCAAGGAGAGCTTATGCATTTCCTCTCCTCTGAGGCTATTCGGCTGAGCACAATTCAATAAGCATTTATTAAAACTTACAGTGTGCAAGATGCTGCCCTTGATGTGGGAATACAAAGATGAATCAGACTCGGTCCCCACTCCAATGCTAATGAGGGTGATGAGGCATGTGTCCAACATGTGAGGCAGGATGTGACACAGGCTAGAGAGGAGGTAATCACGATAAGGGCCACTATGTGCAAGGCATCCGGTGCGAGGCACACTACAGTTTATCTTCATCTTCCCAGCTACCCCCATGGGGTGGCTACTATTATAACACCCACTTTCCAGGTGAAAAAACTGAGACTCAGAGAGGTGGTCAGTTGTCCACAGTAAGAGAAACAGGTTTGGGTTCACAGAAGGATGTGATTCACACACTTAGAAAGGCTACAGGAAAGAGGTGTGCACACGGTACTTTGAAGGATGCATAGAAGTTAGTCAGGCAAAGATACAGCTGGTGGGACCCACATAAACAATGGTCTGGAGGAGGGAAAGCATGGCTTCTTTAGGGACTGGGAAGTGGTTTGATGTGGCCGGAATGGAGGCTGGTGGGTGGGGTGGCATGTATGAATCAGATTCTGGTGGAGGCTTTGCATGCCAGGCTAAAGAGTTTAGATTTTATATTAGAAGCAATGGGGAGCCATTGAAAATTCTTGAGCAGGAGGCGGCATTTTTAGAAAAAGATTAAAGTGGTAATGAATTATGGGGGAGAGAGGGCGACAGTAAGAAAGGAGGAAGTCTACGTGAGAGATTGCGCGGCACAGCAGAGGCACATGGGGCGTGGGGGGTGGGAGAGTGGGTGCACGTGGGAGGTGCGCTGTTGCCACGTGAAGTTGACTTGGGCATTGATCCCTGTGTGCACCTGCTTACTGACTGAGCCTTCTGCATGGGGTTGGGGGGGCAGAGGGGAGAAGTGGCGGCTGGTGGGTCTCCCTTGGTTCCACGTGCAGCTCCTTTCATGACGGGGATGTGGCCAGTGGGGCATGACCACTCAGGTAGAGGACTCAGCCAAGAGCCATGTAATGGGTTCCTGAGCTGGCTTAGGGCTGGCTGCCTGCCAGTTCCCAGGGGGTGGGGAAAGCTGGCCCAGTGTCCTGACTCCTCTGACCCCAGCCTTCCAGGTGAAGCATGCTGCCCTACCTGCCCCCCACTGCCAAGTTCACAGCCAGCTCAAGGCTCCCTGCCTCTGTGCTCAAGCTGAGCACAAGCCCTCAGGTCTGAAGCCACTTCCTAGAAGCAAAGTCTGGATGTGGAAGAGAGCACTGGGCCTGGATCTGGCCACTTGCCAGCTGGGTGACCTTGGGCATGTCCATTAGCCCCTCTGAGGCCCACATTTCACATCCTCCAGCTTTGGGATTCAGCACAATCAAGTAGATGCAAGTACTTTATAAGCTTTGAAAGCACTAAAGTCTCGTGCCAACAGATTTGGAATTAGAGCTGTATTCAAATTCCTGTCCCACCATTTACTAGCTGTGTGACCTTGACAGTAGACGTAACATTGCTGAGCCTCATCTATAAATGGGAATGATTATAAGGTTAATATACATTTTTAACACTTACTATGTGCCAGGCACTGTGATTAGTTCTTGGCAGACATTAGCTCATTTAATCCTCAAGACCACCATATGAGTACCATTATTATCCCTATTTCACAGAGATGATGGAGGGACAGAGAGGTTGAGTAAGCCACCCAAGGTCACACAGCTAGTGACTGAGTGAGGCTTTGAGTATATGCTCTTTATCACAGTAGAACTTCCCTCAGAGGGTGCTCAGAAGATTAAATCAGCTAATGCTTGGCATGAACCAAGCACAGCAACTAAAACATCATAAATGCTCAATGAATGTTGGCTATTTTATCATTGAATCAGTGTTGGGGCCAGGAAGTATCTGAAATGATAGCTAGTTTTCCTCTTCCATGTGGTTAGTATCCCCCCTCTACCTGCCTGCCTTCTCAGGTTCACTTCCCTGGAGAATCTCGAAACAGTACAGGGACAAGCAGGGCAAGCCATTTTCTATTATCCAAGTCCAAGTCATTTCGGCACTTCTGTCACTGTGTGGACACGCAGTATCATACCCATTTTATAGATGACACAACCAAGTCTGAGAGACTTGCCATGACTGGCCCAGGGTCAAATATTTGGGAGGTTACAGAGGCAGGACTTGAGCGCCAGTCTCTCACCCAGTGGAGATGGACCCTCAGCTCCCGCCCCTAGACCCCTGATGCCTATCATGGAGTGGGTGGGGATGAAGTCTACAAAGGGGTGGGACTGGCAGACATCTCCAGGCCCAGGGTTCCTGATGTGAGGGACAGTTCCTCGGTGATACAAGATACAATATATGGTGTGCCAGACACAATACTTGGTCCTTCCATCGCACCACACAATGAAAACATTCTCTTTCCAGTTCTCTGGTAAGCCTCCAGAAAACACAAAGAAGAAAGGCTCTGTGGGAGACCTTGCCAATCTTCCTTTTTAACTGCGTGCACATCTCAAGTCTTGGCAGGCCAGAGTTTCCAGCCAGAATGTAATAACCTCACTTTGCTTGCATTGTGTTTATTTTTATTCTTACCTTCTATTTATGGCAAGTGATACTGGTTTCCCATTTATGGCAGTGATACAATGATTCTCTAAACAAATGTGTTTCAGGGGAAGAAAAGTGGGTTTCAGATTTAAAGGAAATGTTAAGTAATAAGTGGTGTATAGATACGGCACAAAAGGAATGAGTGATGTCTGACCTAATTGAAGGCCCTCGTTTAAAGGCGAGAACGGAGGCAAGCGAGGCGCTGCCCAAGAGCACACGGTGGGTTCCCGCGGGGCTCTCTCTGCACTGCTCGCCCAGACCTTCAGGCCCCGCGGCCCTCCATTCAGACGCGCTCAGGCCAAGGTGACTCGCAGCCCCTTCTGGCGGCACGTGCACAGCCTCGGGAGGGAGGCGACCTGAGAGGACACCTGGGGCTCTTCGCGAAGGGGGAGGGCGCGAGGCTGGACCGCGCAGGCTGCAGCCGGGTCCCGGTGGCTCGTTTAGTGGTGGGACTCTCGTGGATCACCTGCGGCCAGGGCAGTGTGCGTGTGAGTGCGTGCACAGACGTCAGCCTCTGAAGCCCGTGCCGCCTTCCGGTCACGGTGCGAGCGCCGGATGCCTCGGGCGGCCCCGCAGCGGTCCCAGCCCCACGCGCCCCGGCACGCGGAGCCGCCAGACTGCGGCGCCCGGCACGCTGCGCACGGGGAGGGCGGGGGAGGGGCGGGGCGAGCCACTGGACTCGCCCCCCATTGGTCGAGCGCAGTGCCGGGGGCGGGGCGCCGGGCGAAACCTGGTGAGCCTGCACTCCGCGCGCAGAGGCGGCCGCCGGCGGTGGCGCTGGTTGCTAGTGGGCGCCGATGGACAGGTGGGCGCTGCGCCGCGGTGGCTCAGAGGGACGCTCGTGGGGGCGGGAGAAGGCAAGAAGGCCTGAACTGGCCTCTGCCTTCGGGACCGCCATCAGGAGCCCGAGTTTCGAGCACTTTTAGGAGGGACAAGCGACCTCGCCCTTTCGGAGAAAGAGGGGCGTTCGCCTCCGGAGCGGGAAGGAGGGAGGAGCCACGGCCCCGCGAAAAGTTCGCCTCCTCGGGGGCAGGAGGCGGTGAACTGGGAGGAGGAGCCGCTTTTCAGGCTAACTTGGCACTGCGAAGCCTTGAAGCGGCGTTCAAAGCCCCCTCCCACACGCGCGCCGAGCTGAGCGCCCCGCTCTTTCATCGGCTGCTGGCTTCGCCTCGCAGGGAGAAAGGAGCTGTCCTTCCCGCGGGGGAGAGCTCCAGAGCTGCAGGCAGAGGAGGCCGCGGCCGAGCCGGGCAGACCCCCAACCACTTCCTTTGGGGCGGGTGGAGAAGGTGGCTTCGGCGACCAGGGCAGGTTCGCCTACCCGGAACACACACACACACACACGCACACACACACACACACACACACACACACACACACGCACCCACAGTCACCTCCGAAAAGAGCCTCTGGGAGAGTCTAGGGATCCTCCCTTAAGCCCCAGTTCGTCCCTATCTCCCTGTCCCCAGCCCCGGATCCCCAGGCCGGGACCCCGGAATCCGACGTCCCCGCGCCTCCGGTCACCTGGCTCAGCAGGAGTCCTCCGGGTCTGGGCAGGGCAGGGCCGGCGGCGGCGAGCCGGAGCCCGCCCGGCGCCCGGGCCCCACTGAGTCCTCAGAGCCCACCCATGGGACACAGGTTCCCCGTACCCCCTCGCCGGGCCGCGCCCAGCGAGGCAACCCGAGCCGTGCAGAGGAGGAGACCGGCTCAGTGACCCGGGAGCCGCCGCAGACTCGAGGAGACTCAGCGGCTGGAGCGGCAGGCGGTTCCCCGCACCTCCAGGCGCTTCCTGGCAGTCCTCCGAGCCGTGCCAGAGGCCTGGCCCGCTATTCCCAGGTAGGAGAGAGGCACCCCAACAGAACAGGGGAACTGGGCAAAGTGGGACGGCCGGGAAAGGTTGGAGGCTCGTTGAAGGCTCGGTGATGGTCTACATGTCTAGGCATAGTTAAACTGATAACCTCGGTGGTGCTGGCAACTTGGCCTGCTAAATTAGTTGAGCACCTACTATGTATCAGGCTGGGTGCTAGGCCAGTCACCTGTCCCGGGAAAGAAAGATACATTGAACATCTACTACTTGCTATGTTTAGTGCTAGGAGCTTTCTAGTGAAGAGACCTAGGGCAATAGTCCATTTAAATATGAGGAAACTGAGGCTCAGGGAGAACAGTCCCTCCGTCTTCCTGAGCCAGCTGCAGGCTGCGTGCCTGGATGGAGACCAGGAACTGCCAGGAATTGACTGACCCCCAGCCCTGGTGAGGGCCTCCTCTGAGGAGGGAAGGTTAAAAAGCCCTTTTTTTGTCCACAGCTTTTTTCTGGTTTGGTTCAAGGAGTGGGTTTCCTGGGCGATTCTTTCGAGCTCAGCTGGCTGAAGGATCTCTCCTTAACCCCAGGCAGCTCTTGGGGGGGCTCTCTCTACCCCCCCCACCCTCTAGGCCCTGGAAGGATGAGGAAGGACATTGTCCAGGACCTCATGCAGAGGTAGGAGACCGGAATGGGAAGAGGCAGCCAGCTCAGGAGCCTGTGAGTCAGGCTTCCCCTGACATCAGAAAGACAAGATGGGAAGATGCATCCTCCAGGCCCCCCCCACCAAGAACTCTGCCTGTGCTCCTGCTGCGCCCCACCTGGCTTCTCTGGGCAGCCCCTTGACTGCCCAGTGAAGGTGCCACAAAGAAGGGAACCCAGCACTTGTTAACCTTGCTGTGTGCCTGGAGCTATGTCAGCCTCTGGACTTCTCGATGAATCTTCAGGGTAACAGGATGGGCTTGCGTCTACCATACCCATTTAACAGATGGCTAACCCGAGCCCTGGTAGGCCAGGCACTTATCCAAGGTTGCTGGGCTGTTGAGAGACAGAACTGGCCTGCTGGAAGCTGATGCCTGCCTGCTTTCTACTGTGCTGAGCTGCCCAGGGTGGGGAGGTACGCTTTGCAAAGCCCCCAGGACTCCCTTCAGTGTGAGGAATGGGGAACAGTGAGTGTGTCCAGGGTGGCTGAGGTGTGCACTAATGGAGGATGCTTGAGGTACGTGGCGGGGGTGAGGTGGGGCGGAGATGCAGCCGAAAAAAGCTCTGAGGCACATGCAAGGGGTGGAGGACATGTCCAGACTCTCCTACTTTCCTTGCCCCATCTGATCCCTCCATCTTCCAGCCAGGCCCTGGAGGAGGGGCTGAGGGAGAGGAGGGGGTGACTCTACAGATGCACTTGCTGGGAGCTGGCTGAGACGGTTTTGGGGAGAGCCCTGGGCAGGGTGCCCGCCCCCAGCTGCCTGCAGGGAGAGAGAATGACAGTATAATGTGCTCAGGGGTCATTCTCCCACCTGCTGTCAACTGAGGCTGCGCTGAGTCAGATGCTGTTTTGAAAAGGACTGCAGTTTTGGCCAGGGGATGGGTTTGTATAGAGTTAAGAGCACAGGCTTCGGAGCCAAACTGCCTGGTTCTGCTCCCAGCCCGGCGAGTCATTTGCTGTGTGAGCTGAGACGAGTGACTCACCCTCTCTGAGCTTCACTGTCCCCATCAGTCAGGTGGGTCAACAACGGTCCCGTTCTCACGGGACCGTTGTGAGGAGTCATTAGAATAAGGCACACAAAGTGTCTGGCACGGTGGCTGCCTGCCTGCGGAACATCCCCCTCCCGTCTCTACTCTGGGGACTTTCTTCCTCCCAGCTGCCCTCAGAGTGGCCATGTGCTGGGATTAGCTGAGTCACAAGACTTGCAGTCGGGCATCCTGCTGCCGGTGGTCCCTGTTGAACCCCCCCACCTCTCTGAGCTTCCAGGGTTGGACTGTAAGTTCTCAAAGGGCCCTTTGAACTCTGACCCTGTCTGCTCCTCACTGTGTGAGGTCTGCCTGGCCAAGGAAGCAGCTTGCAGAACAGGCAGCAGGGGAGGACAAAGCTGCACCCACGGGACTGTCCTAAGCACCTCCTCTGGGAGGGGAGAAGAGAAGAAAGATGTAGGGGTGGGGGGTGGAGCCCATGGGGGCACTATCACCTGGTGTCCAGGTGTCTGGGTGCCTCCTGCAGCCCCACGTGGCTGGGGCCATGTGAAGACGTACAGTCTTCTCTCAGAAAAGAAAGCCATGGGTTTTTTTTTTCTCCTTCTTTGCCCCTCTCTGACTCTTTGCCTCTTCCCTGACTCCCTACCTCCTCTCTCATTTACTACCTCTTCCCTGACTCTCTGCCTCCTCTCTCTGACTCCCTACCTCCTCTCTCTGATTTGCTACCTCTTTCCGGACTCTCTGCCTCCTCTTTCTGCCTCCCTGCCTCCCTACCTCCTCTCTCTGATTTACTACCTCTTCCCTGACTCTCTGCCTCCTCTTTCTGACTCCCTGCCTCCCTACCTCCTCTCTCTGATTTACTACCTCCTCCCTGACTCCCTTAGGTCCATTCAGTCACTGATATTAGTGCACCTGTACCAGGGTCTCTGGGCTAGGGACAGGAGCAGGGTGGGATTGAAATAAACATGGTCCTTGGTACTCTTCCCTGCCTCTGTTGACAGGTGACCACCAGCAGAGTCAGGCTCCCTACAGAGGGACTTGGGGAGGAAACTGTCACAGTGTGGGGCCTCTATCCTCATCTCTACTGAAGGCCCAGGCAGGCTAGCCCAGTGGGGAAGGAGGCTGAGAAGAGTTCATTGCTGTGGGTCTTGCAGCCCCCTTTCCTCACTGCTCACCCATAGGCATCCCCAGGGCAGCTCCCCGAGGACGAGGGGCTGGGTCATGGGGGTCCTCAGCAGGGCTGTCCTTGGGGGAGAGCCCCTCCTGAGCACAGCCCCTGGGCTAGCCAGGCGGGGTGGGGGCTGGGGGAGAAAGCTGCAGAGAGTTAGGCTTTGGGTGAGTCAAGAGCAGAAGCCACTGGGTTTTGCTTCATTCATTCATGGATCATTTATTGAGCACCTACTGTATACAGGGCATCGCACCATCCTGTAGGATAAATTCAAAGATGACTTCAGGCATGAATGGGTGGGGATGTGATCTTAGGGCTTGGAGCACCACGCTGGCTCCTTTATTGACTGAGTGGGCCAGTCACATAGCCTTTCTGAGTGTCACAGTCCTTATTTGTGAAACAGGGAAAATAATATGTAGCTCATAAGGAGGAGGTGAGGACACTCCACAGCATGGGGTAGACTGACTGGGGTCACATCCCTCCTTTGCTGGTTACTTGCCGTATAACCGTGGGCAAGTTACTTAACCTATCTGTGCCTCAGTTTCCTCATCTGTAAAATGGAGATAATACCGTTATTCCTTCTGGGATTATTGAGGGGATGAAGCAGGTTAATACATGTACAGCACTTAGAACAGTACCTGGCACATATTAAGTACACAATGAATTTCAGCTATTAGTATTGTTAAATACAGTGCATACTTAACCCAGGACTTGGCACATGGCAAGTGGTTGGTTAAAGTTAATTGTTATCATGGCTCTAGACCTCAGGTCAGTGGTGTGCTGAACTCCGCATTCATTGAGGTCACGTTGGTAGCTTGCAGTTAGCCACGGTGGGAGTACTTCTCCGTGGAAATTGACAAATTCTACAAATCGGGGCTTTTTAGGAAGGTGTTTTTGAGAGCTGGTTTACTAGGACCCCACTGTCCAGGAGCTCAGTCCGGCAGGGTAAGTGGATGTGGATTCCTCAGTACCCAAGACAGGATGTTTGCCAGCAGGCTCTCATGTAAGAGGCCTCTCTACCTCGAGTGGCTGTCTCAAACTCTAAGCATTGTGGCAGACATAGAAAATTAGGATGTCATAGGGTGCCTTGGGACAAACGGGTAGGGCAGCTGACTTGGGGCACCCATCGTGGGGGGGAGGACCAGATTATCGTTGGCACATACAGCCCCTTTGTATTGAAAAAAGGTGCCTTCTCTGAGCTTATGAAGTGAACAGACACCCCTTCCTCTGGGTTCACATAGCCCTCACTTGCCCACCCAGCTTGGTGCTTTTGTGCAGTGTGCAACCTGTACAACCATATGTGGCAGGCCTGTAACCATTTGCAGTTCTTCACCTGAGAAGCTCTCCTTTAGAGAGGGAAAGTCCTCCTGCTGAGGTAGGAAGATCGGGGAGCCTCCAGAGAAGAGGTGGCATTTGAGCCAGGCCCTGAAACATAAGAGTGGGGGAGGGGGTGTTCTGATGGAGCAAAGGAAAGGAGGCAGAACTCAGTCGAGCTCAGGCTAACTAGGGTGACTGGTGCTCAGGGGCCATGGGGGCATTCTTTGGGGAGCTGAGACAGGAAAGGAGGATGGGCAGGCCTTTGGGGTGGATCTGATGGAGGTCTGGGGAGTTTTACTTAGCTCTGTTTGGAGTCTGAAGCTTGGAGCCGTTTCATCCTCTTCCACAAGTCTGGAAAACTTGTGTGGAAAGTTCTGAGTTTGCCCCAGAACCACAGCCCTTGGAGTTGTGAGGGAACCTTGAGTCGTCCATGAGTTATTACCTTGTCCTCACACCCTGGCCACCCAGACTCGTGATTCCAGCCTGTTTGTGAAGGAGAAGGTGTGAAACCAGTGTGCGTCTCCTGCCCGTTGAACAGTCTTACTGTAGGAAGGCCCTTCGTCTCTAACTGTAGCCTCTCCTTCTCAGACAGCCACATCCTACAGCCCAGGCCTCTGGGTTTCCTAAACAAATAAACAAAAACCCAAACCTGTGGCCGTCAAGTCAATTCCAACTCCTAGCAACCCTATAGGACAGAGTAGAACTGTCCCATACGGTTTCCAAGGAGTGGCTCGTGGATTCGAACTGCCAACCTTTTGATTAGCAGCTGTAGCTCTTAATCTCTGTGCCACCAGGGCTCTCTGGGTCTCCTGGAGGTGGACAAACTCTCAGGGCCTGGGGGGCAGAAATATCTGGGCAGGAGGAGCTGCTCTGTAGGTGGAGGGAGCCCCCCAAAGCAAAGGATGGGTCTGAAAGTGAGTTCTCCGGATGCAACGCCATGAACCATCCCAGCACTGGGCTTGAGCTTGGAGGGTGTGCTCTGGACACAGTCTTTCCCTCTTTCTGGGAGAGCTGCATGACCATGGGCCCCCTGTGTTTAAGAAATGCTCTCTGGTGCCTTCCACATGTCGTGTCCTAGAATCCCAGGCTCCTGGGAGGCCAGGTCAGAAGGGACGGGTGAATCAGGGAACGAGCAGATTCTTAGGCTAGTTAGCATGTTTGGAGATTGACCATGTGCTGAGCTCTTTACAACTCTGTAAGTTGGATCCATTTTACAGATGAGAAAAGTGAATCCCAGAGAGGTTAAGCTAGTTGTCCAAGATCAATAGTTATTTAGTGGTAAAGCAAGGACTCGAATCCCAGCAGTCCCATGCTCTGACATATTGTTGTCTTGTGCCAGTGAGTCAATTCCAACACATGGCAACCCCACGTGTTACAGAGTAGAACTGTGCCCATAGGGCTTTCTTGGCTGCAATCTTTATGAAGCAGATTTCCACGTCCTTTCTTCTGCAGCACACAGGGTGAGTTCGAAATGCCAACCTTTCAGTTACCCGCCAAGCACATTCCATTTGTGTCACTCAGCGACATTCTAACAAATTAGAGGGGGAATAGATGGGAGGGTAAGTGAATGAATGAGTGAGTGGATGAGTGAAGGGCATGAATGAATGAGTGAGTAGAACTCAAAGTCCCTTAGAGAGAGCCTAGTCCAGCATTCCCATTTTATAGATGGGAAACTGAGACCTAGAAAGGGCGGTGTCGAGGAAGCCAAGGCGTCCACAAGGGCAGCAGGGTCGGATCAAGGGCCCTCTGACGCCTGCTCCCTCGCTCTCTGTCGCAGCCCCGAGCCATGATGAAGACCTTGTCCAGCGGAAACTGCACGTTCAGCGTGCCCGCCAAAAACTCGTACCGCATGGTAGTGCTGGGCGCCTCACGGGTGGGCAAGAGCTCCATCGTCTCTCGCTTCCTCAACGGCCGCTTCGAGGACCAGTACACGCCCACCATCGAGGACTTCCACCGCAAGGTCTATAACATCCGCGGTGACATGTACCAGCTAGACATACTGGACACCTCCGGCAACCACCCCTTCCCCGCCATGCGCAGGCTCTCCATCCTCACAGGTGAGGCCCACACGGAGCGTGCCAGTGCGTTTGCTCGGCACTTTACAGTTTGCAGGGCACTGGCATATCCATTGTCTGAGATGAAACTCAAAACAAGGAAACTGAACGCAGAGAGTGTGGCTGCTTGCCCAAGCCGGGGATGGAGTCAGGCCCGCACTCCAACCTGTTTGGCTCTAGAGCAATTACTCTTGACAGCGGTGCTGCCTTCCAGATCAGGAACTCATACAAATGTGCAATGGGGATGTTCCTTTCCAGGGAGCGGAATAGCGTGGAGGCTCCTGCCTGCCTTCTCCAGGAGCTGAGCTCCTGAGGCCCCGCAGTCAGTCACTGCTGGGCCCTTCTCTGGACTCAGGTCTCTGACCCCCCAGGCCTCTGCCTCCTCTGAGAGTGGTAAAGGCAGTGACCTGGGCAGCTGTTAGCTAAAGGAAAGTCAGGGGGTTCTGCCCAAATGAGAGACTTGGTAGTAATGTCAGTAATGGTGCTGTTGATAGCTAACAAAAAGAGCTACGGGCCTGGCCCCATTCTTAGCACTTGGCATGCATTTACCTAGGAGATTAGTATGTAAATACCCAAAAGCAGTTTCTGTCAAGTTGACTCTGACTCATGGTGACCCCTTGTGCATCAGATAGAACTGTGCTCCCATAGGGTTTTCAGTGGCTGATTTTTCAGAAGTAGATTGCCAGGCCTCTCTTCTGAGGCACCTCTGGGTAGACTTGAACCTCCAACCTTTATTTTAGCAGCCAAGTGCATTAACTGTTTACACCACCCCAGGGACTCGCATGTAAATACCTAGGAGATAAGTATTTGCCTCTGTTTTACAAGTGAGGAGACTGAGGCCCATAGAGGCTAAGTAACTTGCCCAAGGTGTGACACAGCTGGTGACTGGCTGTCTGGCTCTCATACTTTACCTCTAAGCTATCCTGCAGCCTCTAGGCCCAGTCGGGGAGCAGTGAGGAGAGAGAAGGGGGTCTGCGGGGATTTAGGGACACGTGGACATAAGAGGTTAGGGCACCATTTACATTACTGCGGGCAGTTCCACATGGTAGCTAAGAGGGCAGGCCCAGGAACTGGTCTGCCTGGTTCCGGATCCGGGTTCCACTGCTTCCTGGTTTTATAATGCTGGGCCAGTGACTTCACCTCCGCTTCTTCATCTGTAAACTTGGCATCACATTAGCACCTATCTCAAAGGTCATTGTGAGAATTAAATGAGTTAACGTATGTAACGCGCTTGATGAGGAGATGGCATGCTCAATAAACACTGAACCAGCGTTTATAGAATGCCTGCTACGTGCTATGCAAAACCATTTCCCAAGCTATGTCCCCTCCTATTGCTGGGCAGTGATGAAGAGACAAGTGGACAAGTAACCCTTCAGCCAGCACTAAAATAATCCTCCAAATCGAGAGAACTTCTACACCAAGAAACCCATGAACATGTCCACCCCTCCCCCCAGGCCAATGGGTGGGCCTCTTCTTGGATGCCCTGGGCAGACAGCTTCCTCTGCCAGGCTGTCCTTGCTGACCGTCTGACCCACTTACACTCATACCTGCCCCCATTATTTTGAAGGGGAGCGTGTGTATAGAATGAGCCCTGGGTTGACCTTACGAATGTCAGTGTATTCATGGAAGGTCTGGAAGAGTTCAAACCTAACTGATGGGGTGGTCATCTCTGTGGGTTGGGGGCACATTCATAATTATGTCCCTGCAATAGAGAGTTGAAGGAGCCCTGGTAGTGCAATGGTTAAGTGCTCGTCTAATAACTGAAAGGTTGGCAGCTCAAGCCCACTAGCCGCTCTGTGGGAGAAAGATGTGGCAGTCTGCTTCCACAAAGATTTACAGCCTTGGAAACCTTATGGAGCAGTTCTGCTCTGTCATATAGGGTCACTACGAATCGAAATCAAAATCAACTCGACAGCAGCGGGTTTGGTTTGAGTTTTTTGGAGTAGAGAGTCATTTTTGTCTGTCTGTGTTTTATGTGCACGTATCATTCTGAGCACATCTGTCTGCTTGTTTTTTTCATTCAGCAACCTGGGCCTCATTTTCCAAACTGGTGCTTGTGTGCTAGAAATTTTGAAAGCTATTAATTCCGTTGCCAGCTCTCCTTCCAGCTGCCAGCCAGGGCCAGTCTCTGATGCTTGGCATGGCAGTGTTGCATTTGAATATGTCAAGGCAGCCGGGTCCTCTGGGGCCCAGGATTAGCCTAACGGGACAGGGTTTGGCAGCCCAAGTGGAAATGGTTGCCAGGCTGACATTGCCTTGCAAATACCTTTCAAAACAGCCCACACTATAGTTCACTCCACTTCATCTCATCCATTCAACCAGCTTTGCTGAACACCTACTGCGTGCCAGGCCCTGCGGCCACGAGGATGAGTAGGAGATGGAAGGCATCCCCTGCATCAGGGCTCCCTGCTTGGGGCACACAGTTACTGAACATGATTCTGAGTGTGGCATGTGTTGTCATGGGGGGACACATGGCAAACTGGGAGACCTGAGGAGGGAGGCAGCCAGTTCTGTGAGAAGCTGGAATTGCTTGCTTCTCCTCTCGAGAACTTGGGCCAGTTGCTGACTTCCCTGAGCCTCAGTTTCCTCATCTGTCAAACGGGAGTATTGACATTGACGCAGACAGCAATATCAACAACCACAGGGTTGTTTAAAGAATTTAAGTAAAAGTAAGGAAGGTGCTTTGAGAATGAAGTTGTGATAATTGTAGTAAAATCTGGAATTTGGGGAGGAGGCACCAAGCCCTCTTTCTCCTGTCCGTACACCCTGCTACCACCACGTCCACATTAGTCCCCGTTTCAGATTTTAAAACCTTTCTTGAGCAGTGCCGTGAGTTATGGTAGACATAGCGTAGACCTTGGAGGCAAACATTCACTTATTCATTCCATGATTTATTCAAGAAGCAGAAAGCACGTACTGAGTGCCGGGCACAGACTAGGTGAGGACAGAATTCGGTCCAAATGTTGACCTTACCACACTGGAGCTGTGTGATCCTGGGCAAGTTGCTTGCCCTTTCTGAGCCTCGGTTTGCTTACCTGTAGCATGAAGGTAATCAAGTCTGCCTCACAGATGTTTTGTGAGGAGTCTGTGGGATAGTGGGCATAAAGCCCGTGATCCAGTGCTTGGTTCACAGCAGATGTGTCTTACCTTTATCATTGTCGACACCTAAGATCGTCAAGCACGTGCCACATGCTGGTACTTAATGCTCCCCATTCACTGTCCCTTGTAACCCCCAAAATAATCCCACGAGATGGTATTTCACCCGCAGAGGACAGATGGGGAAACTAAGGTTTAGAGAAGTTACGTGACCCGCTCAAGGTCACCTGGCTAGTAAGTGGAGGAGGCACTGTGACCACAGATGCTGAGACCCGACTGTGAATCAGGTGCTACTCCAGGCCTTGGGGATATGCACTGAACAAGACCTGTAAGACCCCTGCTCTCGTGGAAATTATGTTTACTATTCTAACACAGTCCCACGATTCCAGAAGGCACTCATCCGACTCCAGCCCTGCAGATGCGTGTGTAGAGTTAGCCCTGTTTGAACCAGGCTCTTCTACTTACTGGCTATATGACTTAACCCCTCTGAGCCTCAGCTTCCTGCTCTGGAAAAAGGGGAGAATAATAGCAACTACCCCATACAGTGACTGTGGGGGTTAAACCAGTGTTCCATTTGAAGGGCTCAGCACACCCATACATGGAAGCAGTTATGACTGATGTTTGGTCGGGCAGAGAGAGAATGAGGGACAGATCAGGTGCGAACTGTGACTCACCTCCCTGGGTTTCTTCCCTGCAGGTGACGTCTTCATCCTGGTTTTCAGCCTGGATAGCCGGGAGTCCTTTGACGAGGTCAAGCGCCTCCAGAAGCAGATCCTGGAGGTCAAGTCCTGCCTGAAGAACAAGACCAAGGAGGCGGCTGAGCTGCCCATGGTCATCTGCGGGAACAAGAACGACCACAGCGAGCTCTGCCGCCAGGTGCCCGCCACCGAGGCCGAGCTGCTGGTGTCGGGCGATGAGAACTGCGCCTACTTCGAGGTGTCAGCCAAGAAGAACACCAACGTGGACGAGATGTTCTACGTGCTCTTCAGCATGGCCAAGCTGCCTCACGAGATGAGCCCCGCCTTGCACCGGAAGATCTCGGTGCAGTATGGCGAGGCCTTCCACCCCAGGCCCTTCTGCATGCGCCGCGTAAAGGATATGGACGCCTATGGCATGGTCTCGCCCTTTGCCCGCCGCCCCAGCGTCAACAGTGACCTCAAGTACATCAAGGCCAAGGTCCTGCGGGAGGGCCAGGCCCGCGAGAGGGACAAATGCATCATCCAGTAGTGGGAGGGACACTGGGGTGGCCTTGGGCACTGCCTTAAGGGAGGTGGCCCCAGATACCTGCCACCTGCATCCCCAGCAGGGAGACCCCAGCAGCAGTCTTGTCTGAGGACCTTTGGCACTGGATAGAGGACCACAGCTGCTAACCTGTATACATTCTCCTGCCTCCTCCCCATTTCCCAGAGTCCTCATTTCTCTGCCCTTCCATTGGTCCAGCTCCCTGTGGTCGGACATGTCCCTGCAGAGCAGGAGACAAGGCTGGCAGATGGCAGAGATCCAGGTTGGAGTGTTCCTTTTCTTGAGTTGGAAGTAATCTTGATGCCAGAGGGGCCAGGATTCCTGCATCCAACTAAGCCTCCTGGAATAGGCCACATGCTGGGAGCAGTCTCTGCCCTCCTGGTGGAAGACCTAGTTTGGTCTAGGTGGCAGCTGGGAGAGACCCCTACACCCAACCCCAATCCTGAAATGCCTGCCCTCTGGCTCGGCTGTTTCTGCGCCCCACAAGGTGGCCCTCGGCTGACCCTGACATTGAACCAGTGACCTCTGTGTGTTTGAAATGGGTGTGGCCACATCCGTCTCCAAGACCGTGTCCATCTCCCAGACACATCCATGTCCTGGACATGTCCATCTCCTGGACACATCCACATCCCGGACACATCCATGCCCTGGACCACATCCACATCCTGGAGACGTCCATCTCCTGGACAACATCCATGCCCCAGACCATGTGCATCTCCAAGAATGTTCACGTCCTGGACCACGTCCACATCCTGGACATGTCCATCTCCTGGACCACATCCAGGTCCCCCGCATCCCTCTGTCTAATGGTTGTGCTTTGTTGTTCTCGTGTTGTGTGTCAGGTAGAAACGGAAATCTTTGTACTGTAAAAACCTAGTGACCCCTCCTGGCCAGGCCCCCACCAGATTCAGACCCACTGCCTCCCCTTGGGGCATCTTCCTCCCCTTCCCCCAGAGAGCGTTTCCAGGGTCTGTCTGCAAATCGACACTGACCTCCAAACCGAGCTTTACAGTTTACAGAGCACCTGCATGAGCACAGGGCAGGCAGGGCAGGGCTCCCTCTCCTTCTTGTCCCCATTTCACAGAGGAGGAAACAAACTCAGGGGAAGTGATGTGCCCCAGACCCCACCCCTGCCTCCCAGCTAGTTCAGGGCAGAGCTCCGCCTAGACCCAGGCTGTCTTCCACCGTGCTTGTTCCTCAAGCATTTACGGAGCACCTGCTGGTCCACTGTGTGCTAGGAAACATAGAGGGTGAGGGGTGCACTTTGGGTCCCCAAGGCCACGCCCTTCACTGACCCTGGTCTGTTTGCCTTCACCCATGCCTGGCCTCTGCCCACACTACTGCCCACTGCCTTCTGCATACACAGCTGTTGGCAGGATGAGGGAACAGCTGGTAGCCCAGCTGAGCCTGGGAGAGGCTGGGCAGAAAAGCACATGGTGGACCTTTTCCTTTTGCCAGGGATTGGAGTGTGCTGGGTACCAATACATACCCAGGCATGGTGGGAATTTGAACTTGTAGACCAGAAGGCCCTTATCATCAGCTCTTAACAAATAGATTTTGTATTTTAATCTCTTTTAAAATATTGATATTTAGGGCCACAAAGAATCTTAGTGATTATCTAGCGAGTCTCTCCAAGGCCCAGAGAGGGCAAGTAACTTGCCCCAGGTCACGCAGCATGTCTGAGTGGCAGAGGCACAGCCAGGTGTGGACATTCAGTACACACCGTGATGTGCCGCCTCTGATGGTTCCTCAGCCCCTGGGGCCTTCAGGGATTCGAGTGTCTTACCCCCGACCCTCTCCCTCGATGGGCCTGTGAGGGCTCCTGTAGATAATGTGTACCTCGTGCCCATGTACATACGCACACATGAACACACAGGTAGACACGTGCCCCAGCCCCAGCTCTGGACACCCTACACCGGCCCTGGCCCCGCCTCCATGCCTGCTGCTCAGGCAGAGCTGTGATCCTGCTTCTGCCCCCACCTACCTCCAGCCTGAACCCAACCAGTCCAGGTTCCTTGACCAAGACAGGTGTGTGGTCCTGTCTTACCCTGTCACGCCCTCTGCCCTGGTATCTCTGTACACTAGCAATTAAAGTGGGTTTGTTTCTAAGCCGTGTCCACGACTGCATCTATTTTCTGTATTTCCATGAACAGGTCTGCCTGTTCCCCAACCAGAGCTAGCCTTTCCCTCCCCGCGATGCTCCTGCCCTGGTGCCCTGGCCCTGCCGTGTCAGCATGGAGTCAGTCTTCACGTTTAAATATGGGAGTTGGGTGGGGGAAGGGAGTGACACCCCAAGATGGGAGGTCGTGCCCCTTCCTCAGCCCTGGCCCTCTGGGCCCTCCAGGTGTGTCTGGGCCAGGTCTGGGTCCTGAGTTGTCCCTGTTCCTGGAGAGGTGACCAGGTCAGACAGGAGAGGCCTCCATGTACAGTCAGCCCCTGAGGGGCACATGTGTCTGAGTTCCTCGTGGTGCCAGTGCAGCAGTGATTTTGCCCCCAGAGGCCATTTAGATCTGTCTGGAGACATTTTTGATTGTCAGGACTAGGGGCAGAGAGGGTGCTACCGGCATCTAATGGGTAGAGGCCAGAGATGCTGCCAGACATCCTCCAATGCTCAAGACAAGCCTCACAGCAAAGAGATGGCCAGCCCCAAGTGCCACTAGAAGGCAGCCCCAGACAGTCGAGCTTGGATGCCAGGACACGGCTTACGCTGGGTGTGGTTGATACAATGCACAACTTTCTGGATGATCCTTAGCAGACATTGGGCAACACGAGTGTGCCCTGCTGTACAATGAGCCTGGATGGCTGAGAATTGGGTGGAGGTGGGGAGTGGGGAGGTCCAATGGGATAGAGGGAGAAGGGCACTGTCCCCAAACAACATCAGGCATAACACTTTGGATCAATGCGTCTTCCCCTGGGCAGAGAGAAGAGAAGGGAGCTAGCCCAGCACTGACTGCGAGGCTGGACCTCATGTCTTGGGCCACCCTCTAACCAGTTCCATAAGGAGCATAGTTGTTTTCACCCCTTTTTGTGATGAGGAGTCAGGCTTGCCCAAGCTGGCACAGCTGGTCAAAGGCCATGTGTTAGTTATCTAGCACTGCTATAACAGAAATACAAGTGGATGGTTTTAACAAACAGAAACTTATTCTCTCACAGTCTAGGAGGTTAGAAGTCTGAGTTCAGGGTGCCATCTCCAGGGGAAGGCTTTCTCTGTCTGTTGGTTCTGGGGGAAGGTCCTTGACATCAATCTTCCCCTGGTCTAGGAGCTTCTCAGCACAGGGACTCTGGGTCCAAAGGATGTCCTCTGCTCCCAGTGCTGCTTTCTCGGTGGTATGAGGTCCCTCTCCTCTCTGCTCGATTCTCTTTTATATCTCAAAGAGATTGATACATGGTAGAAATTGAGTCCTGTCTCATTAACATAACTGCCTCTGATCCTGCCTCATTAACATCATAGAGATAGGATTTACAACATATAGGAAAATCACTTCAGATAACAAACACAGTGCTGGGAATCATGAATTAGCCAAGTTGATACACATGTTTGGGGGATATAATTTAATCCATAACAGGCCATGCTATCCATGTGGGTGAGGAAAGGATTTTGCATCTGAGAGACGGTAGAGGAGGGCGGTTGTTCTTTGTCACTGGACAAATGCCGCTGAGCACAATTAGGTGCTGTGTCAGGAGGTGGAGTTTCAGAGAGAAGTAGAACAAGGAGCTCGTGATTCAGTGGGAGAGACCCCCGTGCTGACATTCAGAAAGCAGGTGAGCCCAGCTGTGGTCGAGGCAAACCTGGGCTGGGAGGCTCCGGGCTCTGCTTACCTGGGAGCCCAGCTCCCCTCCAATCTTCTGCCGACACTGACCACAGAAGGCGTGTGTGGGCGGTGAGTCACTCTGACGCTTCCTTGGTCCGGCTTTTGTAAATGTGGAATGTGGAGGCCAGCATTCCCCTTCAGAACCAGGCCCCTGCTGCACCCTAAGAAGAGCTAAACAAGTGAGGGGGCTGGGTGCACCCAAACAAGCCCACCCCTGCCACTCTCTCCCTCCGCGGGGACCCTGAGTAAGTTGTGTCCCCTCCTGCGCCTCAGTTTCTTCATCTCTAAGTGGGAGGTAGGAGTCCCTGGGTGATGCAGACTGTTAAGCGCTTGACTACTATCCGAAAGGCTGGCGATCTGAACCCACCCAGAGGCACCTTGGAAAAGAGGCCTGGCAATCTGCTTCTGAAAGGCCACAGCCATGAAAACCCTATGGAGCAGTTCTAGACTGTACACCTGGAGTTGCTGTGAGTTGGAATTGACTTGACGGAAACTGGCAACAAATGGAAGGTGGGGAGGACCACAGCTGGACCACATTACACACCAACAGCCCCTCATAGCCCTGACATTCTCCGCAAGCAGGAATTAATATTCCTGTTACATAATTCCAGCATTCCGATCGTTACTAAACAGAACACGCGTGCTCCAGCCCCAGCTGGCTCCCACTCCCTGTATCCCGCAGGCTTGCCCTGGAATGGGGTTATGCTGTGCCAGAAGAGAGCAACTTCACCGGCAACGTCTCTTCTTTGCCCTGGGACAGAGGGTGGAGTAAGGTGGGAGGAAAATTCCCCTCACGGTAGGACCGTTCAGAGAGGAGCCCAGGACAGCCAGCTTCAGTTCCCAGCCCCAGGAAGAGAGCCTTGGGAATCCGATTTCAGAGAATTCTGCATTGTGAACTCTAAGTACTTCTTCTTTTCTGCCTCCCTGAACCTGTCACTTACTCAAAAGAAAAACTTGAGTCTGCGTCATGGCATGGTGGGGACTGGTGGGAGGCCTGCCAGGGGCTCAGCAGCAAAGGCCGCTGGGAACAGGGAACGAGAAAGGGAGCTGACCTTTGTTGAAGACCTGTTATGCACCAAGCATGGTGCTGGCCTTTTACCTGCTCCTCTCATTGAGTCCTGTGGGGAAGCATGATGGATGCCTTTTTTACATACGAGGGGACTGAAGTTCAGAGAGGGAAAGCTATCTGCTGAGGTTGCACAGATAGTAAGTGGCAGAGCCAGGCTGGAATCCATGTCTAGTTCCAAACACTGTTTTCTCTGCAGAGCTTTCCTAACTGAGCTGGCTGAGGG